CGCGAAGAACCAATGGATCTCTCGTTGAGTACAAAACCGTTGGAAGTGGTGGACGGCATAGTAATGCCGCAATTCGAGACACCCGTCAACGGCTCCCTCGGCCTCAGACACGGAGAGTTCATACCGAAAGCGCCGCAACACGTGATCGCCGACTCGATTGACGGCAAATCCATTTGTTCCATCTGTTCCAAGCAGTTCTCGAAGCCGTCGCAACTCAGACTCCACGAGAATATCCATTACTTTGAGCGGCCGTTTAAGTGCGACTCGTGTGCCGTCAGCTTCCGGACCAAAGGCCACCTCCAGAAACACAAGCGTTCGGTTTCGCACTTCAATAAAGTGACCATCAATTCGACGTTCGGCACGCCTTCGTCGGACAATCCGCGGCCATTCAAGTGCGCCGACTGTAAGATCGCGTTCAGAATTCACGGCCATTTGGCCAAACATTTGCGTTCAAAGATGCATATCATGAAACTCGAGTGTTTGGGGAAATTGCCGTTCGGTATGTACGCCGAGATGGAGAGGTCGGGCGTCAACCTGAACGAGATCGACACCACCGACTGCGAGAACTCGCTCCAGAGCCTGCAGATGATGGCCCAACGCCTGTACGATCCGCGACAGATGCGCTGGGCGTCCGAACCCGTGCCCGAAGGCGGTCCCACTCCTCCCATTGACCACAATAACGGCCACTCGTTTGACGACAACAACAGCGACTCTCACGTGAAGGACGAGCCAAACGACGCCTTTTATCACTCATTAGAGCGCGAGAGAAAACAGACATCCGGTGTTGCGGTGACCAGTCATCAAACACTGCCACCGATGCCTCCATTACTGTCCAGCGCTCGCCTTCCGTCGCAACTGTCGCCAGCCGTACGCCAATCATCGCCACCGCAGCCAACGTCCCGCTCGCCTCCCATTTCGCCCCTACCATTGCAACCACTCTCACAATTACCACCACAACAACTACCAGTACCTCCTCCTCCGGTGGCGGCCGCACCACAACCACCTCCAGAGTCGGGCTTCACGTCCACGCGTTCCAACACTTGCCATCTCTGCGCGCAGACATTCAAGAGCGTGAAGTTTCTTCACGTCCACCTCTACTCCGATCACCCGCCGGAAAGTCCGTCGTCTCAGGTCGACGACAGACTCGACTACGAGTGCGATATCTGTCATAAATCCTTCGCCGATGGAGTTGTCTATCAAAGGGTATGTTTTATCGTGTATTTAGTTTTTGTTATTGACGTTATAATAATGTGTTTGGTTTTGTGCCCCAAACAGCACCTCTTGACCCATACGGCCGCCCGACCCCACGTGTGCGACACGTGTGACGCCGGGTTCACCTCATCGTTACTGTTGGGCTCTCACATCCAAACACATCATCCATTGGCTCAACAAACGACGGCATGAGTTGTATTCGTGTCACACGTCTTATCATTTTATTTGCAGAGTTCTTATGATTTGTTAAAACTTTTTTTTGTTTTAATTTATTCATTGATATAAATCGTGCCCAAAATTATGTGTGTTATTAAATATCCATACATTTTATACTGTATATGAAAAGAGTTGTGAATATAGTTTTGTTTGCCAATCAAAACCTTTTCCATCGGTTTCCAAGTCTAGACTCGAAAGACTTTTTGCTTTTAAACCTTAGACTTTGAACGCAAAACCGTTTTTCTCTGTTTTAATCAAATCTCGTGTACTTTTTATGAAAGTTTTTTATCTCAAATTCACATAAAAGGCAAAACTTCTTAACTCTAGTTTTATTTCAACATAACCTTTGGTTTCGTATTCAATGACTAATTGAAAACTAATTTCTTTTGTTTTATTTGCTTTTTATTTCTCTTCTCTCTTCCTATCATTCGAGACATTTATTATTGATTTCAATGATAAATAGATTAATCATTATTTTTTGGTTGCTTTTCTCGCTCTCATTATTATACATACCGTCGAGTCTTCCCATCAAATAGTAAAATATATATAAAAAACAAATCTGTTATCAAATGACTGCAGAGAATGAGACATAAAAATCTTTGATAAATAATTAAAACTCTAAACCCAGAGAAACAACTGACACACAAAACAATGAAACAATTGATGTTTTTCTTATGTAAACTATTATATAAATAATATAATACGATATCATTTCACATATAAATATAATTAAAGAGACACTCATTTGACATATCATTGCAATCGACATAACATTTTCTGTGAAAATATACGATAAAAAAGACAAATAACTTATAAAACGATTTCTAATTTTAATATATAATATATGAAGAAAAACGTATATATAATATACAATATAATAATAATTAGTGTTTTTTTTGCAAATAAATGAAAAACATATAATATTTGTGGTAAGAAATTAAGGGTATTTTTATGATGATAAGAATTATTGCCACATAAAAATAATTAATACAAAATACAAACGGAAAATGAATATAACTTTTGACATAAAACTCGTTTTCTATGTAAATAATAGTGTAATTCATTGGAAACAATGATTTTTTCAAACAAAAAACTAATTGAAAATGAGTTTAAGTGACAAAAATGTTTGTTAAATATATTGATTATACATATGATTATAATTATTATAAACACCATTCTCTGTAAATCATTTGATTTTATTGACTATTAATTATTAATTAATATTATTATAATTATTATTATTGTTCGTTAAGTTAATGTTATAAACCTATTATTATTATTGATATAATTTTTTTCTCTCATTAATATAAATATAATTATATATTTTTTAGTCAACGAATTTGACTAAATTGTTCGTTCAATTAATTGTATCGAAAGGCCATTTATATTGTTATTATTATTAATTAATTATTATTAAAAAAGAGACAAACTTTTTATGTTTAAAATGATAATTAAATTTAATTATAAAAAACAAATGGAAATACAGTATAAAGTATACCGTAATAACCAAACAGACAATAACTATACCCGACATATACTTCTCCTCTCTTTTACTCTCTAATCAATCGTTTGTTTAAATTTATAATTAAATTAAATTATATATCGATGTCGGGCCACAACCGGCACCTCTGAACTGCCGGCTGTGCTCCACACGAATCGATGCAATTGTGATATGAATTATAAATTTATTATTAATTATTATTGAGAATTGAATTCTTTTGAAACAAGAATTTACAGCAAAAACTAAAATATGAATAAAAATAAATGTTTGAAATAAAATTACAATAAAATTGTCTAAAAATTAATACCTGTTTTCGTTTTGAATGAAAAACACAAAAAACTATTTGAAATAAAAATTATTGATTATAAAAATCTCATTTCTTGGCGTTTATTATTTTGCCATTTATTTTAATTAAGTATTTAATTAAATTTAATTTAATTTCTTTACACTTATTAATGCCATGAAAATAAAGTTTGATTTAAATTATAAAATAAATTAATAATTATGTAAACAAATAATTTGCCAAAAGATGGCAATAGTTGTGCCATAAATGACACTAAAGTTGAGCTGTAATTCACTTTTATGGCCAACAGATGGCAGTAATGGATCCATAAATCGATTCAAATTGACTGAAACCTAAAGTTCACTTTTTTGTAGCTTTTATTGATCAATAGATGTCGCCATCGGTTCCATAAGAAGTAAACGTTTGACCGAAACTTGTTTTGCATTATATGTCAAGAGATGTCACTAACCGTCCCATAAAGGCATACAAATTGCAATTTTATGATCTATTCGTGTGAATCATAATTATTGACAAAATTATTGTCAAATAAATTTTATTTAAATTTATATCAAATTGCGAGAAAATAATGCAATCGTAATGACAGTGAAATATACGGTAAATCTAAACATTTAATAATTAAATTACATTTTGTTGTATTTAATACATGAAAATTGTGTTCAATATATAATTAAGTTAATAATGGCATAGATTTTTGACAAATTAATTGTTAGACTTTTTTGTGTCGTTATTGAATTTATAGTCAACAATAATAATGTATAAAAAAGTGACAAAACTGTGAATTAAGACAATGGAAAACAATTGAAAAAATAATATCTTTTAACATATTATACAAAATGAAAATTGATTTAAAGTATAATTAATTAATTTATGAATTAATTCATTGAATAAACTAATAATAATTAAAATATAGTTTGCATTAAACCATTCAATCATTTGCTGATCAGTAATGGACTACACGTTGTGTGCGAACACCAATGGAAGAGACATTAAAATTAAATAAATTATAATTTTATAAATTAATGCAAAAATGAAAATTGTTTATGAAATAAATGGTGAGTGAAATAAAACTCTTGAAATGTCTGCAAAAATAAATACAAATATTATATCTAATAGTAAATCAGTTGTCGACCTCTCTATTCACTCGAACTGCTGTTACCATTGAATCCATTAGTCTTTGAATAAGTTTTGGTATTTCGGAGCTGAAGACCGAAACAGTAGTCTTCTTGTGATTGACAGACACTTAAAGGCGTGCCTTCGCTGTCGTCGTCGACCATCGGTTCCGATTGAAAGCCGTATGAATTGGCCGTTGAATTGCCGTTAATCTCGTGATTGGACACAAACACAGCACTTGTCGGCCGCAAACCGTTTGCATAACTCATATGCGAGTCATTACTGTAATGAACACTATTATTGATGTCATTATTAATGTTATTGACAATGAGTCTAATGTTGTCAATACTATTGTCCGTATGATTAGTGGCGTTATTATGAAGAAAATGTACATTTGGTTTAATATCGGCGCTCATATCATGTGGTGAGTGATGGACTGTCTTCGATGGCGGCGGATGTCTGATACGATTGAGGGCTGCGTTCGTGTATTGGCTGTAAATATATATCAAGCGTTCGGTCTTCGGCTGATGTCTAACAAAATGGCGTTTAAGCTCCTGAAGCCTGAAGAAGGCTCGGCTGCACCGGTTGTAAGCGCACCGAAACGTGCGCTTCTTCTGGTTCTTCGGGCACTTCTTAGGGCACGACTCGGCGCTCGCATTGGCGCTCAAATCCATGTCGAGGTCGAGGTTGAGGTTCGCGTTGCGGATGATCTCCGAGATGTCGATATTCTTGTGGTCTTTAAGTAAATGCAAATTGAATTCAAAATTCGTTGAATAGTTTTTGTCACATTCGACACAAACATAAGAGATATCCTCGTTGTTGACACTCCGGTCATCGCTGTCCGCATCGCTTCCGTAACCGTTCACACCGTCCTCTCGCGGCTCAACACAACACTCGGGCAAATCGAGGGTCGAGTCGTGAACGAGGGCTTTGGACCCACGCGGACGGCACTCACTCTTCACGCGTTTGGGTGTCTCGAGCTCTCGACGGCGTCGTTGCCGACACTCTTCCGACTCGGGATTCAAACCGATGCGACTCTTATAGAGGTTTTGGTTGCGAGGACTGCAGTTGTAGTTAAAGATCTCGTTTTGTTGGTATTTGTCCATCAATTTCTTGGTCTCTTCTAACTTCACTTTGTATTCACGCGTTTCGGACCGCCATTTGTTGCAGTCGTTGGACACCATTTCCAAGAGTCGGTCGAATCTGTTGCCGCCATTCAAAGAGACAATACATTAGACAACAAATCAAAACAGATATAATGGCGAGCAATGGTCGGGTGCGGTGATGGCCACAGACCTGGTGTACTCATTGAGCTGTCGGTCAAACTGAACAAAACTCTCGCAATCAGTCAAATACTGTTCAATCTCTTTGAGTGAATGCCTGAGTTTGAAGAGTATGTTTATTATGAGAACCGCTACTCGTGTCCGGTCTTCGGGGTCGGAAAAGTTGAGGTCATCGATGAAACACTTGCTGTTATAGTGGCGCAAAAGCCACGACCGTATCACAGCCTCCCGGCCCTCATCCGTGTCGGGCGAGTGGCCGTCCGTCGAGTCGCCCGAAGACATCGTCAACACTGCCATCGATTGGCCGTCCGTTTGGTTCGTGTCGAAGGCGTTGGCGATTATGGATATCAGATGAATGAGTCGCTCGAGAAGACAGTCGTCGGCGAATGTCTTAATGAATGGTATTTCGCAGACAATCATATTCAAGAGTCGGATGCAATCGCGACTGTTGTGGTCATAGATGTCCAGCATTTTGGCAAAGATCACATCCCCGGCGCCCAACGCCGCCACACTGTCTCTCTCTCCACACTCTCTCTGTGTCTTCTCTGTCTAATAGTCACCGCTGGGGATCCGCTCCAAGACGTGCATCACTGGTAAACATCAACGATAATAACAAAACAGATCCGTTCAGTGAATGCCGTTTCAAGCGGTCAGCCATTAGTTGTTTACTTATGGAGAGAATGACAGTAAATAACGTGTTGTTCCGGTAGTGGGGGTGGGGTTCGTGTGTTGGGGGCAGTGAAGTGACACTGAAGTGAGCGCTTCGTTTGGGGCACTAATTGTGGGTCAAAAACATTACGTTATTTCTAAATGGTTTCCACACATGTCTTGCGTGACACGAGTTATGCGGCGAATCATTGCCTCTAAAAAGGGGTTTCACTTTGTTTTCAATGCAAACCAATCGTCGAGTGGTTTATGTTTTTTTCGATACAATTTATTTTTGTTAAACTTATCGTTAATTTAGTTTTAATTACTTTTTTGTTTAATTTTACGTATTTGTTGATTACGTTTATCACTGCCATCGATGCACAGGTAATGTGTGCCCCCTTTTTCGGTCCCCTATTGTGACTATAATTGACAAATGAAAAAGTTTTACAACTTTTTGAAAACTTTTTTCGAAAATAAAAGTTTTGTGAAATGAGTGAAAGTATTGGAAAAATTATGCTGAAAAGTGATATTAAATGCAATCAAATGGTGATTATGTGCTGTATATTGAGGTCTAAGAAATGAAATAAAACTTCAAATTTTAAACTTGTATTAAATTTTTACATAACTTTGCAATTATTAAAATTTAAATATTTAACAGAGTTAGGCGTTACTGTATTTGCAAAAATATTTTATGAGTTATAAAACTTATTATCAATTAATTGTCGTTTTTATTGTTGTGTACTTTAAGTCGGGTTTAAATTTATTTATTTATTTTGCGGAAATTTTTTACTCAAATTGTAAATAACATGATTTAGAAAAACAGTATTTTTTACAAATATTTATTACATTTACATTTGTATTGAATATAACAGTCAATAAAAAAATTAAACAATTTGAATGAATGAATACTAATAAAAATACATTAACTTTTTGCACAATTATTGTTTGTAACATTAATATTAATTCCTTAATCAACTGATTTACTTAGCCTTCAACAGCTGTTAACCGTTTGATCCCAATAGACATTTACTGACCCTTTAATTAAGTGATATTTCTAAAGGGTTTTTGCAAATTCCCCTTTTCTAGTGACGACAATTTATTTGTCTATTACTCGTAATGTTTGCTAATTTTCCACATATTTTGTCAACAGATTTAATCATTTGAATTGTCGTCGCCTTCAAGTGATCTTAAAACTTATATCCAGTGTTTCTAGTAATCAGTCAATACGTTTGAATGAGTAAATCCAAGAAGTTTATCACTCATCTAAACAGGTATCAAAAATTAATTACTTATTAATTATATATTAATGTTTGTGAAATTTTATCGACACTCTGTTTACCCGATATTCCTATAGTTTTTATCATAATTATAGCATAAAATAGATTAGGTTTTCTGGCCATCCGTCCAATTCAACCCCTACTACATAAGTGTCATGACTCATGACCATGGTGATAATTTCGGGTACATTTCAAATTCTATGGTCATTTAAATTATTTAATTTTAGGCTATTTGTAAATATTGTGCATATTCAAAATATTAACCAGAAGAGTCATGTTTACTTAATATTATAGTCATTCAACTATCTTATTATAATAATACGTAAACATTCATTAATAGCTATTAAAACGGTTTATATTAATGTATAAATATTTATAAAGTTATAATAATGTGAAGAGTTTTACAATTATATTGAGTTAATCACATGAAATCATTAATTTCAATGACATATTGTTGTAATGAATAATATCTCTAAAAATACATTTTAAAAAACTCGTTTTCGGAGGAAATCTTTTTCAGTAAATAATATATTTTTAAGTTTATTTAAAAAATAAACTTTTTATACATTGTATTTACAGTTATACAAATTGTTTCATTTTTACGTGTATTTCTTTGAAATCATATTTAAAATATATTTTAGTTGTAATCTATAACTAGTTTTTATAGATTATTGGAGTTTTCTATTAGTTTATTAGAATTTAACCGATATATTACAGCCTTGAAAATTATAGCTATGATTACAAACTTAAAAAGTTATATAATATAATAATTATATTATAATTAATAGAGAATTAATTAAAACTTGGTCTTTGTATTAAAGACTAATGCATTTACACCATTTGTATTATCAAAATAACAGTGCATTTCATAATTAACAGCGACAAGAATTAGTAAACTGTTTATTATATTAATGATACCATTTATTCCTCATTTAAGACTGTCCTCAGACCTTATGATTTCTCTATCAGTCATTGATTTAATGGATTTTATTTGTATTTTTATCGAGTTCTTTGTCTGGACTTTAATTTATATGAATTTTTAGAAATTAAAATAATGATAAATAAAATTAACATTTTTGACACTAATTGTTATAATAATAAACACATTTTTGTTGCATTAAAAGTTTGAATGTAATTTTCAGTGAATTTTCACGTATGTCTTGAAACTTTTCATTGAATTTAAAGCCTAATTGTTGTTTGATTTTCTCCTTTGATTCATAAAATCCTAAACGATTTTTAGATAAAATGATTGACAAAAAGGCCTCAAATATTTTTTTGCTACTAAAAATCAGTTGATTTGTAAAAATGTTATCAAAACAGGAAAATCGACGACATAAACAGTGGATTCAGATTCAAGGGCTAAATGGTATTTAAAATGTTTTTATGGTATATTTTATATACATTTGAATAATACAATTTGTACAATAGTACAATTTGTATAATACAAAAGTGCACAAAACTAATAAAATTCATATCTAATGGAAATTTCAATACATCACTCGTCTTATCATCAATTAATTTTAATTATAATTTTATTATTAGGAAAAATACAATATTTTATTAACGGTGTGTGAAGTGATTATATTTATGTTTAATTATTGATTATTTATATAATTAAATGTGAAAAATAATTTGTTTAAATTTAAACCATATTTATTTACTGCAACTAAACGTATGATTATTTGAATGGAAATCTCTGTGGGTTCTCATCACAAGAAACTGATTATTAGTGTATTTATGAACTGAATTATTATATAAGACGAGAAGAAACTATATTTTACATGTGTTTTACGTCGAAATAACCCCCGATTGATATCACTGTAACATTAAGTAGTGCTCCGGTGTGTTGTGTGTTGTGTTGCAGTAGTTATTATTCTTTTATTTAACAAAATAGATAATAATCGGGAGTTTTGGTTTGTAACTCACTTCTTTATTTTCAAAAAACACGACAAAAATAGACGTTAAAAAGTTTATTGTCTATACTGATTGTATATATTTTAATCGTTCAAAAAGTATTGACGCTTATGAAAATCGATTATCTATTAAACTAAACGAGCTAGATCAAATCTATAAAAAGTAAAATAGAGTTCCATATGTTAAGTTTTTTGTGGCAAAAAATTATTAAAATCACGTGACCACAACACAGAAAATTTTGGGTCAAATCGATTTGCTATGTTTTTTGCCTACCCCGAGGGGGGCTAGGAAGGAGGCGGGTATGTGGCTGGGTAGATGACATATGAATGTATATGATATTGGCAAAAAATTATTAAAATCACGTGACCACAACACAGAAAATTTTGGGTCAAATCGATTTGCTATGTTTTTTGCCCACCCCGAGGGGGGCTAGGAAAGAGGCGGGTATGTGGCTGGGTAGATGATAGCAAAGTTTGATTAAGATTTGTCTAGCCATTTAAAAGAAATTGGTGATTCTGTTAACATTAGGTCTATGGGGAAAAATTGTTCTGGAGTCGAGTTTTTATAACTACGAAAATGTAGTATAAAATAAGCAAAATTGGGGTAATTTTGTTCAAATATTGTGTAAATTCTTTTGAATATATTGTTCGTAACGAAATAATATCTATCCTATGTTTATGAAACTTTCATATCATATACATTCATATATCATCTACCCAGCCACATACCCGCCTCTTTCCTAGCCCCCCTCGGGGTGGGCAAAAAACATAGCAAATCGATTTGACCCAAAATTTTCTGTGTTGTGGTCACGTGATTTTAATAATTTTTTGCCACAAAAAACTTAACATATGGAACTCTGTTTTACTTTTTACAGATTTAATCTAGCTCATTTAGTTTAGGAGATAATCGATTTTCATAAGCGTCAATACTTTTTGAACGATTAGTATTATACAAACACATAAGTTACAAAAAGAGAATTATATTTAATTAAATGAAAAGTAATTGATTATAACTTTAATTTTTATCTATATTAAATGTTGTAAAAGTCCTGAGCATAATAGCCGCTTTATTTTGAGTTTTATTGAATACCTTTTCAGCCGATTATATGTTTTATTGTAAATTCCGTATAATTTCTTATTTATTTAACTTATAATTCTGTTTATCAATGAATTTCATCACAAGTTATACAATAATTGTCATAAACTAGTTATAAATCTTATGTAATCTCAGAGTTTTAAACGCATTTTAGCATTAATTTTCATGATTGACGATATTTTATGACATTTCACTTCACGCGTGAAAACCATATTTTTCACAAAACTATTAACACAAACACATAAATCTCAACCACTTTTTACACATTAATTCTCAATGGTTTGCAGTTTACATAATATGAATATTCTTTCACTATTCGTGTATTGAGTGATATTTTTGTGATATTCTTAGGACAAGAATCTTAAAAATTTAAATATTATTATTGTTTTGTTTGTATAATTCTTATGCAATTGCTATTCAATTATAACAACAATGAATTATATAAGTATTAAATAAGTTTTATCGACGAGTGTTTGTTTAATTGAGACGATTAGATAATTAATGAATAGTGACTGTATTTTGTGCGACCATTGAATCGACAGCGCATACAATGTATGGCCCAATGGTTTCGTGTAAACGGCGACAGCATATCAGCGCCGATACCACACAATCAGTCGCTAATATATCGCAACACTTGAAGGTATTGATTGCTAAACACAGACTTCAATGCGAGAGAGAGAAAGACAACCATTGCTTCACTTTTGTCTCTACTAAAGAGAGTGTCAAAAAGAAAATTGTCTTAAAAAATATATAAATCTCTTATCAATTGAACGACTTATAAAGATTTTGTTAATTTTTTTGTCTGTTTTGCAAAGTTTTTTAATGAGTTTTGAATTATCGGTTAGAAATTTGTGCCAAATATGGATAAGACGGACAATAAGGACAATACAGACAATACGACCGATGATCAGACCGACGGCGAGAGTATTACCACAAAACGCGTCAAACAGACACTTTTCGACGAGACGAAGATTACGGTCTATGAAGTGAAACGCAACCATCGGAGTCGGGGTCGGGGCCGACACCACAAGTCACACCACCATAGGGTGCATCCGCGCCGATCGCTGTCTCAGGGGGCGACCCCTCGCAGCAAAAACCCGCACCCATTGCTTATACGGCAACCGTTGGCCACTCAGCGCCGGTTATCGGTCTCTAACCTCAAATTGAACGCCAAATACAGCGGTTACCAGAAGTCGACACTGTTTTGCCTGTCGATCGTGTCGTTCACATCAATGCTCTCCATGTCATTGATTGCGCCCTTCTTTCCGTTGGAGGCGTCCAACAAAGGCATGAGAGAAACCATCTATGGCTTTGTGTTCAGTGTATACGCTCTCGTCATCTTCATATTCAGTCCCATCGCCGGTAAACTCATACCAATTATTGGCCCCAACTTTATGCTCATATCGGGTGTGTTTGTGGCCGGAGTCGCCAACATATTGTTCGGAGTGTTGGACAATATCGACGATTTGGCCACTTTTACCGCATATTGCTTTCTGGTCAGGATATTCGAGGCCATCGGCGCCGCCGCCTTCTCCACCGCCTCCTATACTATCATTATGCAGGTCTTCCCCGACAATATCGGCACCGCTTTTGTGAGTCAAATGATTATTTTTTGTTAAATTTGGCCCAAATTTTATTTTTTAAATAATTATTTTGCACTTGTTTTTACTCAAATTCAACTCAACATTTCTTTTGATTTAGTTATCAGTTTCTGTACTCAAGTGTTTAAGAAAATATAGTCTTTTCATTTTATTTCTGTTTATTTGTTTTGATCGCATTTTTTTGTTTAATATCTGATTTGAAGATTTCGTAAAATATAATAATAAGTTTTGATTCATTTGTTTATTGCAAATATTATATTCTCTGCCAATATTTGCCCACAAATTATAAATATAGCGTTTATGTTATCATTATTTCCGTCCCTTTCCTATCATTTTCCTAATGAAATAAGTTATGCAACGAAATGAACAAACTTTTAAATTAGTTTTTGTTTTTGAGGCCAATTGTAAATAAACAGTATATGTTTGGAAATTTCCAGACTATTGATCACACCATCAGCTCGTGTTTATTTGTGATCATATCATTACATAACAAATTACTTTCTCTATTCATGATATAACAGCAAATATTTTGTCCTGGTGCAATTATTAATTTTAATTGACAAGCACTTGAACATTAATATTGAAATTTTTAGCCAATATTTCTATCCGATGTATATTTCAGGGTTTCATAGAGACATGTGTTGGTCTGGGAATGAGTTTAGGGCCGGCCATCGGCGGCGCTCTGTACGGCATCGGCGGTTATAGTTTACCATTTTTCGTATTGGGAGCCCTCATGTTGGGCACAATACCCGTCTGTCTATTCATTATTAAACCCATTGAAAGTAATTAACAAAAAACTTATTAAAAATAATTTTTCAATTTAACAAAATATTGACCGAAAATATCTATGATTTTAGTGTTAATTCCTATACAAAAAGACTCGTCGATATCGTATTGGAAACTGATTTCAATACCACAGGTACTTGTGGTGGGAGTAGTAGTTGTGTTAGTCTCGCAAACCATCAGTTTTCTGGACCCGACAGTTGAGCCCCATTTCCGCGCTCTCAACATAAGTCCCGAATACGTGTCGATTGTGTTTCTCCTGTTATCCGCCTGTTATACCGTCTTCTCGCCGATCGTCGGCTGGTTTTCGGGCTATTTTGACAACAAATTCCCGATAATGGCTTTGGGAATGTTCTTGACTTCCGCCGGACTCTTACTGATGGGTCCGTCGTTTCTCATACCACTGGATCCGTCGCTATTGCTGAGTGTGGGGGCGATGGGACTCATTGGTGTCGCCTATGCTATCGCTTTTATACCCACATTTGAATCTATATTAGACATCGCGTTGTGAGATATAATTTTGCATTTAATTGTATACTAATTTTGACAATATTTATTTGATTACATCTTTCTTTTTATAGAGATAAAGGATTTTCAGACAATATCTCAACTTATAGTCTAGTCTCAGGTCTTTGGAGTGCAATGTATTCATTGGGGTATAAATTCATTGACTATTAATTAGTTATTTGCTTTAATTACTTATTTTATGTGTTTTATAGTGAAGTGACGGGTCCTTCACTCGGCGGATGGCTTTCGGAAAACTTTGACTTTTCAATCGCGTCCACAATTATGGCTGGATTTGCTTTAATGGGCGTAAGTTTTGATTCACTTGAAAGCTAAAATCTATATGAATCCCTATTAATGTGTATATTTCAGGCCATAATCGCTGGAATCACATTCTTCTTCGTACAAATGGACGAATCGGACTCTTCGTCCTCTTCCTCGTCATCGTCGTCGTCGTCGAGTGAAACCGATTGCGAGAAGTCATTGGCGAGCAGTAAAAGTGGTCAGAATTCACGCAAAGACTCGCAATGGGATGAGGAGGCGATGGAGAAGGAGTCTCTTCTCAGCAATTCATTCACAGAAATGCCTAATAATCTGTTCCTCAATAATAACGGTGTCAGTAAAGGCAGGGAAAAGGGATTAATGTTTTCCGTCGCCAGTATTTAATAACTCAAAACAAACTAATCATTCATTTCTCGTTCACAATATCGTTAAAAATCGCATTCACTTTATATAATGTAAATATCGTTAGTATTTAATTAATAAAGCAGTTAATCCATTAAAGTAAAAGTAAAACAACTCGTGCTCATTGTGGGTGATATACTGTAACATTTTAAGTACTATTAGATATGATTACAAATTGCAATCCTGGTACATGGTCAAATACCAATTCTAACCATTTTATATTCAATGCAATTGACATTCGTGTGATATATAATCGCTTTTAACACTCAATAAGAATAGTTATATAACTTATATTAGGATATAATTATAATATTTATATTTTTACATAAATTGAATCACAAGACGTGTTATCCCTTTTAATTAATTAATTTATCATTTATTTCATTACACAATAACTCATTTAATGTTTGCTCTCTTTTTAAAATACCAGTGAAATGTTAGAAATATACATATTTTTACAACAATTAAATCTTACGCCCATTTTTGGGCGGTTTTTAAAACACGACTCATTCCTCACAAGAATTCATGCATTAAATTGTTATTTATTACTAGAGTTACATATCTATCATCAAAATCAGTAATAAAACAATCATCTGTTTAAACGAATTTTAATTCACATTTATTAATAATATGTAAAATAAATACAAATTTTATAAATTTATAAATAAAATCAAACATTGACTTAAAATTATAAAACTATACATTACTTAACTTTCTTGTCGTTATCATTAGTTTTCCTAATAATCTCGTCGTCCGACCAATTGTTGGACTCGCTATCGCTGTTAGACTCGTATTCACCTGAACTCTCATAACCAGAGTCTTCAGTAGTAGTAGAACCCGATTCTGGATCGGAATCTGGTGTCAAATTAAGCAAAATCGGGTCAACGTTTTGGTCCGCTTCTGTCAACAGCTCTATAAGACTTGTTTTGTGTATAATATTCTTAGAAGTGAATAGAGTGACGGCCCGTCCCTTCTCCTTATGTCTACCGGTTCTGCCGATCCGATGGGTATAGTCCTCCAGATTGGACGGGAAGTCATAGTTAATGACGAGCTTTACGTCTTTGAAATCTAGACAATTCGCAGACATATATGTGTTGATAAAACAATCGCTAAAAACCATATAACATATCGCATACCTAACCCTCTGGAGGCGACATCAGTGGCCACTATTATAGAAATGTTTCCCCTTCTGAACTCTACAGACCAAACAAAAAAACCATTGCATTCATTAGAGAGTGGATTAATTGGATTTAATTCTAACAGTATATACACCACACCTCTGATAACGTAATCCCTTTCGCGCTGGTGTTTGTTTGAGTGGAAAGCGCGGGCGGGAAACGAGTCCTGCGCCAGAGAACGGACCAATCGATCGGCCGTTTTCTTATGTCTTACAAAAATGATTGTTTTGATGAATCCGGATATCGTGGGCACAAATTCGTTCATAATGTCCAGCAATATCTTCTCTTTGTCGCACTCTTTGCACACTTTTATCGTTTGTTCAATATTTTTGTTAACAGTCAGCGATTGATTGGATCGCGTTTTGCCGACATTCACGCGCACGTAGTCTTTGAGAAACTGGTCGGCCATCGTCTGAACCGATTGCGGCCAAGTGGCCGAAAACATCAGTGTCTGGCGTTTGGCGGGCAATGCGCTCATTATGTACTGAAAGTCAGAGCCTAAGCCCATTCGCAACATGAGGTCCGCCTCGTCGACGATAATGAAGTCCACGTAATCGAGTCGTGCGATACCCGTCTCCAGAATGGTCTTCAGCCGAGAGGGAGTGGCGATCACTATATGAGGATTGCCTCGCTTTA